CTGACCGCTGTGTAATAACTTGTTTTTTAGCGTGCTTAAGTGTTGGACAATGAAATAAATTAATTTGATACGTTTAGATATAGTTTAAGAATTTAGAATAAAATATTGTAGTTATTATTGTAGAAATGAAACTCCTCAGACAAGGTTCTACCTTAAGAGTATATTATGTTTATTCACTATTATGTATTCGTAAGTTATGTATAAGTCTTGTATATACTTTGTAATTGGATCAGTTTGAATAAACATTATTTATTATTTATTATTTAATACAACTATTATGTTCGACAGGGAAAGGAATATCCACATTATAACAGCTTATTTTTATCTTGAAATTCAAAACAAAATTATAAATTGAACGTAATTGAGGTAGTAATTTAGTAGAACTTTTCTACGAATTTCGAATATAATTCATTCTATGTATTGTATTGGATACGTCCTAGCAAACATGTAGAATAGAACTAGTTTATAATACTTTTACATATGTTTTCTTATCAAAACTAATTTTTATTTATTCTGGAATACTAATTCAATAATTATATTAGAAAAAAAATTGTTTAAATCCAATAATTTCTCGTTTCGTTTCGATTAGAATAGTTGATATGGAAAATTCACTATCATTAAAAAAAAGTAAAAAAAAAATTATTTACTTTATGTTTAGTTTTGATACTAGCGATTAGCAGCCAATAATTAATTCATTTTTTAAATTCTTTTTCAAATGAAATGAATCAGAGTGTCAGAAGAAATCAGAATATTCAACTATTTCAATGTTTTTGAATCGCTTTTTATAGTAAATACGGTCGAAAAAATGGCCGTAAAATCTGTTATCATTTTATTTGTAATATTTTAGAATTTTATGGTGAATGTAATCTGTGGTTATTTCGAAGCCAACTTGGCGTCATTTTGTCTTGGATATAAAGTGTTTTAAGGCACTGGACTACTTATTCTTGTTGTTAGATGTGTTTGATACGTTTATATAATTTCATTTATTCACACAGCCGATCGAACTACATTGGTGTTAAATTGACTTTTCGCTGTAACTTTTAATTGATTACTAGAGATTTCGAAAAAAAAATTTCGATTAGAGAAAAAAGTTCTGGAGATAAATTTTTATACACTCACCGGCTGGAAAAAAGGGGCACCTTAAAATTTTCATGTATTTTAAAGTTTTATATAAATGTGTTCTAGTGGACCGATTTTGATCATTTTTAAGCAATTTGTAGCTAAATTATTTGACTTTTTAATGTCCCTAAATTAAAAATGAAAGTTGCCATTTGTCAATTATACGAAGGAAAACAAAATGTTGATATTTTGGTGAAAGTTTGAAACAACCTGTGGAGCACGTTAACAAAGCAAGGAATTTAAAAACCATTTTATCATCTAGGTATATCTTTTCTCGATAGTTTATTTTTTGATCCATCTTATTTATTAGCTTTATTCTATGGAGATCTTTGCTTTTAAGAAGACACAGTTGATCTCTACCATGATCAATTAAAGCAGCAATAGCCGATTCATTAGAAACTTAAAATCATCTCTACTAGAGTAAACAGTAAACACTATTTTATAAGTATGTTGATGAGGACCGAAAATCAGTGCTAAAATACCTGTAAATTGTTACTGTCTTATTCAAAAGCGAATATCTCCAACAAAAACAAAGCTATTGACATGAATCAAAAAACAGACTATCCAGAAAAGATGTACCTAGATGATAAAATGATTATAAAATTCCTTGCTTTGTTAACATATTCCACAGGGTGTTTCAAACTTTCACACAAATATCAACATTTTGTTTTCCATCGTATAATTGACAGATGGAAACTTTCATTTTAATTTATGAAGAAACACTAAAAAGTCAAATAATTCAGCTTCAAATTGTTTAAAAAATTATCAAAATCGGCTTACTAAAAAAAAATATATTAAACTTTAAAATACATGAAAATTTTAAGGTCCTCGTTTTTCGTGCCGGTTAGTGTATTTCAGAATTTTTCATTGATTTTATTTTTTTCCTTATCATTCACTAAACGTAATTGGTTATTACAAACAAATATAATACACATTTTCAAAGGTAGGTATGGGATCTAAAAACTTTTGTTAAATATTTTGTTACTCAGAAATCAAAATGTAGAATTTTTCTTAAAAAAAAGAGTGATTGGGATTTCTTACGAAACCAAAAATTAGAATCCCCAGATCTCGTACTAAACGAGCAGCGGCTAACACTTTTAATTATTGTTGTGCTTTTTAAATAAATCGAATCCAATTAAATGATTGTATCGAATTTCAATTAACAAGTCCCAGTGTTGGCTGCAGATTTTTCCATCCTAATTGCTTCCCAAGCTCCGAGACCCAGCAACATTACTGCTCTTTGTCTCGCTGCCAAAAACCATTAATTGGTTAAAAGCTGTTTTTTTACTAAGCTACTGGGCCCCTACTTCCTTTAAATTTCGAAATTAGTGTGCGTTGTTAAAAAATTATCAAAATTTATATCTAGGAGCGTTTTAGTTTATTTTATTTAATACTAACTAAAATACTTAAATTCAACTATTAAAAAAAAACGATTTTTTCAGTTATGTGGAGTGTCGTTGTTTCTATTAAAAATGCAGAAGAATCATTATATTCACAGTAGTATCTAATATATAAACTAAATAAAGCATGTTATATCTGGAGGTCTTGGTATAAATTTTTACTACCCATTCTAATCCCTGGAGTGGTTACCATTAATAATATCTATTCAACTGCCAAAAAAAATGAAAAAATCTTTATATAAAGGAGATTAAAATCATACTATTTCTACTTGTTCGAATTTGTTACTTCAAAATCAAAATAGAACATTAAAATGTTCTACAGTAAATCCCGGACTGTCTTTACAAGAGGAAAAACTTATTTTATTATTGACATTTAGGGGAAAATGTTCATAAAAATTGTTGCTTGTTCTAAAATGGTTAATTCCGTTTATACTTTTCCAAATCTTCGTACCTACTGTTTTAGAGAAAATTTAAAAAACATGAAAATATGGTTGAATTTTTTCAAGTCCTAAACATCAAAAGGTGTTTCTATAGTAATATTATTTCAATTTCATTCTTTGGTACATGATTTTTATTAATTTTAATTAACGTCATATTTTTTGCTCATATTTAATCATATTATCCGATAACTATTATTACTAGTGATGAAATAATTCGATGGAAAATTCGCTCGAGTACTAGATTATTGAAATAACCGACATCGCTCGATTATGAACGAGCGATGAACCCAAGCGATCCTAGAATGAAATAAATTGAAATCCAATTTTAATGTGACATACTCGATAAAAAGCTGAGCGAATTTTCTACATACCATTGCAAATTTATACGACGTTATCCGTTGCGAATCTGAGTGACAAAATTTTACGACCTACATCGACAATGCTTTGAAATAAACTAAATCAAGCTATCAAGAGAATCGCTCGTCACGAAAGAATCACCGAAAGAATATTATGTGCTCTGCGCACGCAACTTACTGCTTGGCGTTACGAGTACAAGCGACGCGACGGGCGATCGCTCGATTATTGAAATCGCTTGAAACTCGAGTACTTGATTATTGAAAATAATCGGTTTTTCCCATCTCTAATTATTACCCTTTCCGGAGCTTTCAACTGAATAAATGTTATGCCTCTTAAACATTTTAAAACAGAAAAAATATGACATTAACTAAAATTCTATCAATAACAATATATCAAAGAAGCAAAGCGGAATGATACAATATACGTGATATTACCATGGAAACGCAATTTATTTTTAGGATTAAAATTCCACTATATTTTCCTGTTTTTTTTTAATATTCTCTAAAACGGTATGAAAGTTTGGAATAGTATACACGAGATTAACTATTTTAGAACAAGCAAAAATTTTTATGAAGAATGCATTTGCCTCGAAATGTCAATAACAAAAAAGGTTTTTCTCTTGTAAAGACAATCCGGGGACATACTGTATAACCATTTGGTAAACAAAAATTCCGTGTTCTTGTATCTATTCTTTGCAATAAAATAGTCTTTTGTGGAAATGAATGCTAAAAATATTTTCTATAAATAATGAGTACCTTATAATATATCTTTATGGATGGTTCGTTTGGGAGAAATAGTTAGATTTTTGACACAGAAATTAAAAATTATTATCATATTCTTTATGAAATGCTACCAAAAAGATTTAATTTCAATTTACCTAAGAGACACATTTTAACTTTGAAATAGTAAAATACTAATATGGGTAAAATATATTCAACGAGAGGATTATCATTACAGAGACAGATGTGAGTCATTTTTATTCACAGTTAAATTGTAGTTTTTATAATTTTTTTAATTCAGTCAGTGTGTCGAAACCATCCCTGGCACATTGTGACTCATCACTGACTATATCGACAACTGACAATTGAGATCTTACCGATGATGGTCTGGTAGAATGCCATTAGATGTCATTAGATGTGAAAATAATAAATAATGGAAGTTATCTAGTGAGGTAAGACAGATTAGTTTCTAAGAGATTAGAGGAAAATTAGTTTCTTCGGTTTATGTATTTTTGTTATGTGTGTTATATTTTGAAACATATGTTTTTCTTCTTTTTTGGTTCTTTTTCTCTTTTTTCTTCTTTTTGCATTCTTTGCAAAATGTCCCAACTTTACAAGCATGTTTAGTTTTAGTAGCAAAATACCTATATATTTTCCTGAAATCTTTATATTTTATAACATTTTTAGTTTGTTCAATAAAGGATTTTACTTATATTTTTATGGGGTATATAGTATTAACGTTTGACAATGACTTGAAATATATTTTATACAGACATAAAAGTTCTGATTGAACGAGATTATTACAATATTTTACAAGTTTCTACAAGACAATTTTCTCAAATGTAAAATAAAATGAATCACATGGTTAAAAGGGAACCTTTATAAACATTAAATGCAGTTTTAATCGGCAATGTTACACAACTAATTTTCTGTGACACCAACTAATTAGGAATGAAATTGATAGGTAAAAATAGGTGTTAGTTTTTATTTATTATTAGTACATTATTTTAGATTGCAATCCAGCAAATAATTCATAAATATCAGTTTCCAGTTTACAATCATAAAAGCTCGATTTGCAGTCGACGCCAAATTCACCAGCTTTTTGCGCATCCGAATATATAGGGTCCAGTGTGGGATCTGGTCCGTCGTTATAGTTGGGTCTAAAATAAATAAAAGAGATTATAGTATAGTATACCGGGTGGAGCATTGTCGTTGAACACATAAGAATATTGGGTTCCCTGCTGATTTTAGAGTGAAATCGTAAATAGATATTTTAAAGGTCTGCGTATGCTGAAAACACATGTCAAATTTTGTGCATTCCGTTTTTAACTAATTTAAGAAAAACTGCACCTATTGTTAAATTAAAACTGGACAGGTAACAATACAAAACCATGTAAATAACAACTTACCTTAAATTGACCTATGATATATCAAATTGTATTATTGTATTTCCTAAACGTTAGGACTTATTTCATTTATCTATTACGTTAGTCTCTTGCCATGCTTTTTCCTAATACTAAAAAGTTTTGAATTACAAAAATGTATTTTGAGTACCTACCTACAGGAGTAGGTTAACAAAATAAATTATGTTGATATTTGCCTGGTTTCGCATTATTATCTGTTCAGTTTTAATTTAAAATAGATTCAGTTTTACTTGTCGAAAATTTTTCAAATTTAGCATGTGCATGCAGCATATGCAAACCTTTAAAAATTCGATTTAAGTCGCTGAAAAATTAACAAGGGAGCCAATATTTGGACTTTGGACAGTTCAAAATTGCATGGGATTTCCTATGTTTCCAATGCCAATGATGACCCCAGTAGCACACAATATTGGCTCAACATTGATTCTATCTTTCCAAAAAAATGCTGTATGGGTATTTAGCCACTGCAAGAAAATCTACAAAATTAAATAGATATTTTTTGTAAACACTGCTTGGTTAATCCATATAGGATTTTTTTGGAGAGATTAATCCGCCACATAGATATATACATATTTTATTGATTCTGTATTGGTCAAATATTATATATGGGCCCAATATTGGCAATTTTTAGCCAATATTGGTAATATAAATGAGTTGTATCTGTTACCTATATTCTTATAAAATATTTATTCAATATTGTTTCCAACACGCGCAAAGCATATATTTAGCAGTAACTAATATTTATATTTATATGTAATATTTACCCAATATTGGTAATATATAAAAGACATACTACTTTTCGATATCTATATAGAATAAGCCCCTTTTAACCGTATCTTTAATATCGGATTCATATAAAAAATATATATTGGGTTTTTTAAAAAAAATCTATCGTTTCCATCGTTGGGCCAATATGTAAATGTAATATTTTACCTATATTACTGTGCTACAGGAGGAACTACAAGGTGTGTGTTTAAGAACACGCTCGGAATAGCAACGGCAAATATATAAAATGAACTCTCAGCGATCTCAATTTCACAAATTTAAAAAATATCTAATAACAAACTAAGAGGGAACAACAAATGTCTAAAAATAGGTAACAAGTATTGAGCAATCTAATTCGCTGATAGACTTAATCGCTAATAATCCTGAAGAGCTACAAGAATGAATCAATGTATATCAATATGAAAAAACAATAAATATGACTGAATATGACCAGCAATCAAATAAGCCCATTTCTTAGGTCATGGGAGTATCATAAGGATCGAAAAAAAAACGGCATCAGCAATGGCTATGATATGAAGATCGCTGTGATTTTAGATGTAAAATGATATGGGAAATGTTATCGATCGTCATTTCCAAATTCAGGTTGACTCTCACTATACCTTCCGTTTCCATTCCATATCCGTTCCGTATTAACATTGAAAATGTTTCTGTTATCCTATATAAGGGAGCCCAAATCGAATTAAAATGCTACATTCGCCACACCATGACGTCATATATACAAGGGTATAGGAAATCTCGGCGCAGCGGCGGCAGTCGGCCAGCGCGCGCAAAAACCATTACATCGCTAATTGTTTATTGATATATCTTTATTAGTTTAAAAGCAAAAAATATGGGGTTTGCTTTGATACCTTGTCAAGACATAAGCGAAACTTTTAAATTGTTTCTTTTTTTTTCATTTAGGCCTTCGTTTTCGTTAAATGAAAGTTATATTAAAAAATCTATTTTTAAACCAAATTTTCGCATGATTGAAATGATTATTCATGTTTAAAGTTTTTTTGGTCATAAGCGCTAATGAAAATGTTTTTCGTAAATAATTATAAAAATTACTCCCTACGAAGACTTTATTGTGTACTGGATCAAAAAATAAGTATTTGTTTCTCTATACGGTGGTATTAATATATCGATTTTTGATGATAGTGCCCTTTTACCCGGTCTAATTTTGTACTACTTTCGGAATAAGGGTCCCCATATCATGTACTGTACTTCCATCCCTGAAAAATTCAGCTTGTGACACCGAAGTGAGAGGTAACGTCAAAATAAGCTTTAATCTACCTACATCATATGTAGGTGTAGGTACTCTAGATATATATTCTACCTAGACAGTAGCTGAACTAGCTGACAGTAGGAATTAATTTGTTATCCGATAAGTAGTTTGGTTTGGTTTGGTTTGATAATAAGACTAATTTCTTCTTATTGGTAATAAGACTAATTTCTTCTTATTCTTTTAAATATTACAGTGTTTCTTTTTCCTAAAATGTTATACTTAATTTTCGCTTAAAATTAAAAAATCACAAATGGAGGAAAATATACGTTATTGAATAAAGTTTATACAAATCACTTTACCATAACAAAAAGTAAAAACATGTCATGGCGGAAGATATTCAGGTGGCATTTCACACATTTATCTATTAAAATCGAGATTAAAATAATAAACTTGCGTAACATGTTATACACGAGATAGAAAGTTTCAGAATCGATTAATACGCAATACGCTACGCAGTCAACTTATTCCTATGCGCGGATGAGCGTCTTCAAGACTCTTCCTTCGGCCAGGGTCACGACGCCGCCGAAGAGGTATCGGCCTACGTTTGGCTAAACAGGCTGGACACGGTGGAGTACGATATTGGCGAGTCTGAATATTTATAAAAATTTGCAAAGTAAAATATGTTGGAAAAATAATTAATCCATACATATATAAAAGCTCAAAGGTTTTTTTTTGTTGCATCCATCCCGCCGAAACCGCTTTACCAATTTTGATGATTCTTTTTTTAAATGAAAGGTATATATGTGTAGATTTGTTATGAAGTATTTTTATAGTGCTTAATGGCTATTTCTTTGTGTAAAACGACTAAATAATAAAACATACCTGAAAAACACCTACACACAATACCTCCAGAAATAAATTATTTGTCATTGTCAGTTAGATTATATATTACGTTTTTAGATATTTTAGAGTGAATTCATGCCGCCAGCTTTACATACATAAATATTAGCACAAAGGTTCGTTTAAACGACATTAGTGAATTAGCTACACAAAGCGATTTTAGGAAATTCATCCTCTTAGAGGGTAAAATTATCTCGGAACAGTTTGTTGTATGAAAATTCCTTACTATTTGGTCTAGAAGAATGAAATCCTACAAAAGGATTAGAAGAAATTTTTGAAATTCATCAACCAAATGGGTAAAGTTAGTAAAAATTTATATAAAACTTGGTGACCTCTGGATTATACACATAAAAATGGGCACAAAGGTAAAGCGAATTTATGAAATTTATACCCTTAGGGAGTAGAATAGGGAATGAAAGTTTGCTGTACGAAAATGCAATATTATAACATTATAAACCAGACAGTATAACATTTTATACAAGGGTTTATTTAGTGACATCATAACGAAATATATCTTCCTCAATTATTCTTCAAAGAATAAAAAATAACCTATAAAGAGAGTATTAGTGCTCTTAATAAATAAAAAAAGATGAAAAATAAAAAACATCTATGCTCACTAGCTCTCTATAAAGAAGTAAAAAATCATTTAAATCAATGCATGAACGATTCGAGGTGTAACGCGAACGTAGTCGCGAGAAAAAGCTAGTAATTTATTAAATTATTTTATTTAACTCATTAATTTTCATTGAAAAGGAATTTTTGTAATTCGCCACTATATTAGTTAAAAACTAAGAAACTCATATCAAATTTAAGTTTTGGGATTTTGACTTATACTTTTTACAAAATCTGAACACATTTTAAAAGAAAAAAGGTTTTGACAATATTTGTGTAGATTGACTACAAGTTGTATAACATAAATTTCTACGACCGGTCTACCTAGTGGTCTGCAGCATCGCCTTGTGGTGCAAACGTTGGCCTGTTAATCTGTGACGTGACGCACAACAGCCAAGAAGAACAGAAGCGTGGCTAAGAATTTAGTAATTTAAAAAAAAAGTCTTTTAGATACAGTAGTAGGTATTAAAAAGTTTTGTGTTTAAATGGGGTTTGCCTTTAACAGTTAAAAAATTATATCGTAAAGTGTAACTTTCCGTAAGAATTCTTTTTTTTTGCTTGCTTGTTTTACGGATAGGTGCGATCGTATAATTATTATTGATAATGTTTTATTTAATTTTAACATTACTACTTTTTCAGTGAATCTTTAAATCTGTTGTTTTTTGTTAAGTTCGTTATTTAAACATATGTATGTAATACACTCATATTAACACTAATCATATTTTTACGTTTTTATTCATCATTTTCAATGCCCCCCCGGTTGCATCTTTGTAAAGGACTGTGAATTTTTTTTATTGTATTGACGCTATACGTAAGCTTCCGTTCCGTATCAGTTCCATACTTTTTATTGTACAATTTATATCATTACGAAAGTTTCATTTTAAAAATTTGTTTCTTTTGAAAAAGATAATAGATTTAATTAAGTGGTGAAAGAATGAATAAATATCAGCAAAATATTAACAGAGCTGGTTCAAATGTAAGAACTTGACAACGTTGTTTCCGATACGCTTCAGTCCGTCCGCCAAAAAAATGGGGAAACGGAACGTATAGTGTGCATTGTCCTATTCATTTACATGATATAATATTCTACATAAACGGAAGGGAGCTGATATGGAAGGTATAGTGAGAATCAACCTTTAACTGGACGCTCTTTATTTTCGATCATACGGTAGAAGATGAATACATATTATACTTGGACCATTTGGCAAGAGAGCACTCGATTGTAATTCCATAATGATAAAACCTAGTATGCAATTTCGACTAATAACTTTGATTAGTTGATATAACCAGTTATGTCAATTTATTTGTTGAACAAGTTTATGCTTCTTAAATATTATAGACTGAAAATATGTCCATTTAGAAATAGAAAGTTAAAAATTGTGAAATTTTTGATAAAATCGATATACCGATTTAATATTTTGTAGGTAAATTGTTATATAAATTAACTTACGTTAAAAGTAGGTACAATACTTGATCTAAAAGTCCATTTTCTCCATTCGGCATAGTACCACCAGCATATTCACAAATAGTTTGTAAAACACATTCTTTACCATTGAACCCATTGCTGAAAATACAATTTATTTTAATTGTAGAAATATGTCAAAAGAGTGCAAAATGGAATTCCAGCAAAAATTCTTTGGGAGGATTTTTTTGTTTAAGAAATAATCACATTAGATAAAACGAATATATTGCGAGTATGAATGTTTTATTAATATTTGATTATATTATTATAAATTTTAATTTATATACTGGCCGTTTTCTATGGTTTGGTAACGCTATATAAGCAGAAAACTTAAATCACATAAAAAAATCACATAAAAGAGTTTTATATTTTTATTTAAAATATTGAATTCCCTGTTATGTTGGTACATATTTATTAGTTTCCCGTAAATTTTAATTAATTTTGGACGCTAATTATATTTTTTCGTATATATTTCGTATACCTGTCAAGTAGTTTTTCAATTCCTTGATAGAGTAGAGCTCTGTCATTCGTATCCTGAATATTGTAGTTAGCTATATTTCTAGTTTTTCGAGATATTTCAGGAAAATTTGAGATGCTAGTTGTGTTGTACGGTAAGGGATATTGAAACTGGAAATTCCATCCCACACCCATTTCTTGTTTTGGACCAAGTTTCCAAGGAATAGCAAAACTGTATACTGTCTGTAAACAAAAGTATAATTAGTTTTGATAGAACATTTCATAATGAATTTTAATACAAATAAAACATCTCTCAAACATTATATGTAGGTACTTAAAATAAAATACGTAGAAACCATAATACGAGAGTAAAAAATAATAGTTATGTAATAAAAATATTATGTTGTATAACTTCAAAGCATATCTTATAGAATTAATTGATTATATAAAAAAGAATACAAATTTTATTACGTATACTAATATAATAATAAAATACTGATACCGTAACTAATAGTGATGGTTAACACGATTCTTTTTAGTGAATCGAATCACGCGATTCAATTTCTCATAATGAATCGACATTTAAGATCTCTTTGTTTGAACAAACTGCAAACATATTTTGCGTATTACAGTATGAATAGATTTTTTTGTAATAATTTCCACATTGTTTGAATTTTATATTCATGATGTTTGTTTAGTGGCTATTGTTCGAGTCTATTGATGCCCTACTTCATAAATACGCATTCTTCATAATTATGAAGACAGCGTTAAATTATAATTTATTTTATTACTAAATATTCAGGGTGCTACAAATTCGAGGTACGAGCATTGGTATCTCGGAAACCATAATAGATACGAAGATTGTTAAATTGGGGCAAAGTTGCGCCTTGGGATGTTCACCCTGATGCCATCAAAAAAGTTTTAAAAATTTCAAGGATTGCTAAGTTTTTTGGAAAAAATCTGATTATATTCATCGCAACAATATATTGAACATCGCTAATTAACATTGAGTAAGGAAAATCGAGCCAATTGAAAGATTTAAATAAATAATATTCAAGTCAGCAATTTAAAGATATTTTTTTTAACTTTTTTTATTGTGAATTTGAAATCTCAGTGTACGATCTAGTAATATGCATAATATTAATCGTAATTATTATAAATAAATCACCTTCTACAAACTAGTTTTTAATGCTCTACGCGTTCGAAATGGTTCTTATTGCACACATTTATTATTCGTTCAATTTTATTTATAGCTCTTTGAACATATCTTCTTTTTATACTTCTGATGGCATTTTGTACTTTTTATTGTAAATGTTGAAAAATATTTATTTCACTTTTACAAATGACGTCAAGTAATGCCCCACCCCCACGCCAAGGGGGGGGACAGGGATATTGGCGACAGGCTCCTGGACCTCGCTGGCCATTATACTGCTCTACCATTTCCAATTCGTTTTCCAGGGAAAGTATTTGATTGTTTATATAACATTATATTTATATTATTTGTTTTATTAAACCCTCAAAATGTTCTCTGAACTTCCTGAATGCACATTAATCCATCTTACTACTTTAATTAACGAGTCATTCCAAAAAGGAGATTTTAGAAACTGCCTTAAGACAGCAATAATTATTCCTCTGCATAAAGGAGGAGATAAAGATGAAGCTTCGAACTATCGCCCAAATGCACTCCTGTCGACATTATCTAAGATCATTGAAATATTGGTTAAAAAAGGTTTAGGCTATCTTTTTTCCTTAAATATTACTCCTACTTACTACCCATCAATTTAGATTTCTAAGTAATAGTTCCAATGTATACTCTAGCCTGGATAACCATCACTCTACAGCTACAATTTTCTGTGATTTCTCTAAGGCTTTCGATTGTGTAAATCATAATATCTTAATTAACAAATTGCAATACTATGATTTCAGGGGAGTGTCGCTCGAATGGCTTAAGTCATATCTTGGCAACAGAAGGCAACATGTGAGGATTGATACCTCTATGTCTTCTTGTGAGCCTATAGAATGTGGTGTCCCTCAGGGTTCAGTACCTAGCCCTATTTTGTTTCTGGTGTTTATCAACGACATTGCAAATCTAGACATTAGCGGTAAAATCTGCCTCTTTGCGGCAGATACTAGTTTCTCTTGTATGTCACTCAACATAATACCTCAGTATAACAGCCCCGATGTATTAGACATTCCAATAACAGAACAGGAAATAAAGGACTCCATAAAACCGCTTAAAAACAATAAATCAGCTGGCTGTGACGCGATTCCGGCGGAAATCTATAAGTGTGCAAGTAAAGAATTTATTGGTCATCTTAAGGCTCTCTTTGATGTCATATGGAAAAGCGGAGAGGTACCTCAGGACTTTTGCAACGCGAATATAGTGAATATATTTAAGAAGAAAGGAAGTGCATCAGACTGCGGAAACTACCGAGGAATTTAACTACTGGCTATAGGAGGAAAAATTCTTGCAAAAATTATGTCAAACCGCCTGCACCTACATATAGAAAAAATCCCCCCAGAATCGCAAACGGGTTTTCGCACCAACCGCGGTACCGTCGATTCCATATTCTCCATCCGGCAACTACAGGAAAAAGTAAAAGAGTAGAAGTCTAAACTTTACGTTGCATTCATCGATCTAACAAAAGCCTTCGACTCTGTGAACAGAGATGCACTTTGGGCAATTATGAAAAAGTTCGGAGTACCCATCAAATTTTTTACAGTGTGTAAAAGCCTCCATAACAACAACAAATCAAGGGTGTTATATCATGGATCACTGAGCGATCCCTTCCTAACAAACACAGACGTTAGGCAGGGATGTGTCTTAGCGCCTCTCAATATATTCATGGCAGCGCTCTCCATTATAGTGGACAGCAAACTGCAGGAGAGAGGTTTGGGCATTAGATACCGATATGACGGCGGTCTGTTCAACATAAAAAGACTAATGGCAAAAACACGTACGAAATTCATCACAGAACTTCAATACGCTGATGACTGCGCTCTAGTTGCAAACACGTTACAACAATTACAAGAAATGTTGAACACAATACATATATCTGGGCATATGAGGCTTTGGACCTTAAGCTAAACATCGATAAAACTAAAATCATGTGTACTCCCCCGGAAGATTACAACAATGCTATAAAACTCGGAGATGAGCTGTTGGAATATGTAGCGGAATTCAATTACCTCGGCACTTTGATTTCGGAAAAGGCCAATATTGACTATGAAATTCAGCACAGGATTAGCAGCGCCTCAAGAGCATTCTGGAAATTAAAAGACAGGGTTTTCTGCAATCATGACTTGAGCACAAAAACGAAACTTCCGGTGTACCGAGCGATAATAATTCCCACCATGTTATATGGAAGCGAAACCTGGGTGCCGTACCGCCGACACATGAACGCATTAAACAAGTTGCAACAGAGACATCTTAGACAACTCTTAAGAATAAAATGGTTCCATCATGTCTCAAACGTCCTTGAAAAAGCTAACTGCGAGTGTATTGAAGTCATGATTACAAAGTCCCGCTTAAGATGGGCTGGTCACGTATGCAGAATGCAAGAAAACCGCATACCAAAATCTCTGCTTTACGGTGAGCTTGTAGACGGTAAGAGGTGTATTGTAGAGGAGGCCGGGTGGACAACTCAAAAGGTTCAAGGATATTTTCCACGAAAACTTGAACTTGACTTGAAAAAAAAGGGAATTAACAAGCAGAATGAGTGGGAAGAGGCAGCTCACAATAGAACGGAATGGAGAAGAATTGTAAAGTCAGTTAAGAGCGACAACCAAAAAGTAAAGAGGCAACAAAGCAATGAGATTTTTGAATGTCTGGAGTGCGGTAGACAGATAACATCGCGTATCGGGCTTTTCAGTCAGAGAAAAGCTCATGAAAGAAGACGCCTTGCGTGACCATCTTTTGATGCGTGTCAAATACACGTCAGCGAGTAATGCCGGTATGTATGTATGTATGTAGTTTCACTTGGAGCGGCCCAGATGTGCACTATATAATACTATATCCAGTGACTTACGCACCATTAAATCTTGGTGCGATTCTAATCTCCTATGCCTCAACCTATCAAACACTAAAGTTTTGTCATATAAAACTACTATACAATATTAAAATGGGACTTTCATATCGAATCTCTCTCAAAGAAACTAAGCTCTGCCTGTTTTGCACTAAGATCAGTTTCTAAGGAACTTAACTTATCAACCTCTAGAATAGCCTATTATGCCCTTTTTGAATCACATCTTCGTTATGCCCTTCCATTCTGGGGTACTTGCTGCGCAAAAAAATTTGATCGTATTTTCAGACTTCAAAAGAGAAAACTTCTTCTTATTCGATTTATTGGGACTGAACAGTAGAACTCACTGCCAGAACTTCTTTAAAAATTTCAAAATAGTTCCTTCTTTATTCATTTTTGAATCCGTTTGCTTAATCCGCAAGCACATATCTGCTATTCCCGAAAGGCCACCTCATAACTATCCACTTAGGAATGCGGAGCACGATCTTTATCTGCCAACCCCGAGCTCAGAACTAGTTAAAAGTTCAATACTGTACAATGCCAAAAAAATGTACAACCATCTGCCTTTGAATATCAAGTCACTTTTGTTCTTTCCCGCATTTCGCAAAACTCTGAAATCATACTTACTGGAGAGAGCCCTATATGCGGTAAACGACTTTTTTGTTGATGTTTAATCATGAACAATTTTGAATTTTAAAATTTTGATCATCTCACACACTGGTCAAGGGTCAAGTATTTAATATTTTATAACTCTTAAAATTATATCTACTTACAATCTTCCTATTGTAAAATTTTATTGATACCCATTTTTTTGTCTTCTGCAATTGATCATGTATGTTCTATTTGTAATTTTAATGACTCAATTTTTTTTTGAATTGTATGATTTGTATTACATAATTTTTATTATTTGTATTTTTTTGTGCTTATGTTTGTTTTGTAAATGCTTTGTCGATGAAGCTATTTTAGCTTTTTGCAGAATAAAGCGTTATTTGTTTGTTGTTTGTTTATATTATTTTTTTATTTTTTATTGCATTTTAATTTCTGTATTTAATGTTGTACCATACGTCATTGTTAATTTTGAAAGCTAACCAATATTGTAACGATGATTAGATTAAATATTAAAAAAACAGAGCCGGACTTGAAATTACTTTAAATAAATTGTGTTTAAATGTCCGAAACAAAAAAATATTAAGTGTGGCACATCGTTGCACAAAGGAGACC